TTTGCTCACCGATACTTTATGTTTATGTTGTTTTGTTCAGTTTAAGATGCGAAAAATCCTAATGTTGCAAATTACATTTTTCTTCACTTGATATAGATAAAAAAATAAAGCAAATCCAATAAACACGATTGTTAAGTAAAAAGAAGAAGTGAAAGCACGCAATGTACAGCTACAATGCAAAATCCGCACCGGCAGTGGCCAACTGACATAAAACAAGTGTAATTGAAGAATTACGATTCACTTCTAGCAACTACCGTCGAAATCTGGAAAGAAAAGCACGATTAGCTGCAAAAAACTCACCTATCATTGGTCGGAAAATGATCAGCTGTTCGGCGATATCGATTCTGCGCCGTAGCTAATACCGTACCAATTACGAACACTCACGGACTTGTGCAGTGACACGCCCCATCTATCCCGGGGAAACGACGACAAATTGCTGATTCCAAATCTGCCTTCCCTATCTGCAAAGCAATTATGAACGAGGGGTTATGACCGCTTACTGGGGCAAAAAATTGAATGTGCAAGTAGGACAAAAATAGCCGTAAAACTTTTTCTAGCTCTTTAACACGTTGACGACAGTGCCGCGCAATGGTGCGCGGCAGGCAGTCTGTCCCTGTGGACGACGCCGCGCAATGGTGCGCTGCGGCCTTAATTTCAATACTATCTGTCCAGTCCTCTTAGTTTTTGTTCATATAATCAACATAGGCTCAGATATACCTCATATATTAGCTCCGCCCCTTTTGGCAAACTCCGCCCACTCGCCTCCCACAAGAGAAATTTTTGTTCATAAAAAGCATGGATGAAGCCGTAAATGAACGCAAAGACTTCAAACAACTTTCAGCCAGGCTCCGCGCACCTTCAGGCAAGCTCCGCCTCCTAAGTGGCAAGCCCCGCCCACCTGCCTTTTTGTATCTCACGCATAGATGCATGCATACATACATGCAGCCAGCTGTGAAAGTGCGGGGAAACGGTTCGTCCACAGGGACAGACCTTCAAAAAATGGCTCGTCGTCAACGTGTTAATGGAGCAGTGAATATCATCAGAGCACTTTAATTAGACAATACTCTCAATTAAAAAGTACATCACACTTGGTTGCATTATTTGAGGGCTAGCACTCATTTTACCCAAAATGCATGTTCAATTTTTGGCTAAAAGAAAACGCTCATAACTTCTCATACGTAATCGCTCTGCAGATTACGAAAGCAGATTTGGAGTCAGTGTTTCATGCCCCAATATGGTACACATCTCGTTTAGAAAGGCCACTTCGACTAAATAAGCTTCCTTTGTCAGAATGTGCAAAATTTTCGTGAATGTCGCGGAATTCCCGGAATTCCGCGACATTCCTGGAATTGCGCGGAATTCACAAGAATCACGAATTCTGAAAACTCACGCGTTTCCAAATTCTATTCGCCGTAACTTTCTTCGGAATAAATGTCTTTTGAATCCGAAAAAGCATTGTACTCAACTCATCAAAGCAAATCTTTCGATACAGCGTGCTCTTGATATTTTGATTTCAGTATCCTGAAGACGATTCGATAGTACTTCTTCTGTAGATTATGGACCTCCAAAAATATCCGCACACTTCCTTCCAGAGGAGATAGAACGGCTAGTGAATTGTGGAAAAATCTTCCAGTTGTCCCAAATTCTACTCGCCGTAACTCTAGAATGCGAAACTATTTTGCTAAGCAGATATGATTTTCGTAATCAGCAGGTCATGCACCTCTACGAGCGAGTTCTCCAAGAAATTCGGTTAATTTCATTTTTTCTTGTTTTACGCTCTGCAGCTCGCATATGGATTTCGGTCAAAATGTTGATGATTTTGGATTGAAAGGAAACTTCGCTTATAGAGGTTTTCGGGCATGCTGTTTACGAAACTAGTGGTCTTTGAGGACGACTTTTTGCAGAGATAATGTGAGGTAACTGTAAGTGAGCCATGAAAATTCCTAACTTCGCCCTGCACCTTTCGTGTATCTGTCAGAGAACTTGCCTGTTTGCTTTCATATGTTCAAGTTAGTAGGGAAATGTGCCATCGAATGGTGCATGTTTCAGGCTCCTGTCCATAAAAATTGCCGAGTTCGAGCCTACAAGAACACTTCTCATGAATTCTGCCCGTATGGTGGTAGAGGTTGTATAAAATACCGACCAAATCTGTTCACATCGCTCAATGGATCTTCTGTATTGAATTGGTAATTAGGTAGATCTGAGCTCTAGCTACAAAGCTGCTTTGATATTCGATTAAGCAGCCGAAGAACACACAATCACTATAGTCAATACATTGGGATTCCTTGGACGAAGTGAACGTAATATTTGCAATCAGAATGTCGTACAACCACTCACGTTGGAATTTCGACGAAGTATGCGATCTTTACATTTTGGGTAGACTGAAGCCTGAAACATGCACCATTCGATGGCACAGTTCCTACTAACTTGAACATATGAAAGTAAACAGGCAAGTTCTCTGACAGATACGCGAAAAGTGCAGGGCGAAGTTAGGAATTTTCATGGCTCACTTACAATTACCTCACATTATCTCTGCAAAAGACCCTGTCTTCCTCAAAGACCACTATTTTCGTAAACAGCGTGCCCGAAAAAATCTATAAGCGAAGTTTCCTTTCAATCCAAAATCATCAACATTTTAAACGAAATCCATCTGCGAGCTGCAGAGCGTAAAACAAGAAAAGAAAAATTAGCCGAATTTCTTGGAGAACTCGCTCATAGAGGTTGTATGACCTGCTGATTACGAAAATCATATCTGCTTAGCAAGATAGCTTCGTATTCTAGGGTTACGGCGAGTAGAATTTGGGACAACAAGATTTCTCCACAATTCACCAGCCCTTCTATCCCCTTTGGAAGGAAGTGTGCGGATACTCTTTGGCGGCCCATAATCACAGAAAAAGTACTATCGAATCGTCTTTTATAGAGTCTAGGGGGCAGTGCGCGCTACTTTACATCTTTGCGAATAGACGTCCGCAAAAAAATTTAGGAATACTGAAATCGGAATATCAAGAGCACTCTATATACCGAAAGATTTGCCTTAATGTGTTGAATACAATGCCTTTTTCGAATTCAAAAGACATTTATTTCGAAGGAAGTTACGGCGAGTAGTATTTGGAAACGCGTGATTTTCCAGAATTTACCAACGTTTCCCTTTCTTTTGAAAAGAAGTCTGCGGCTACATTTTAGCGCGCTATCCTACTATAATAACGCGCCAAGCCCGTCTGTTTTTTTGTGTGTCTGTGTGTGTGTGTCTGGTGAAAATCTGTCTGTCACGAAATTCATAGAGGAAGCTGCAACTAACAAGGGAACCGTGTCGAGTCGAAGTGGCCTTTCCAGATGAGACCCACATTGCTTTGAAGAGTATTAGGCTGCGTTCATACTGATCCCGAAGTTCGGGAACAGTTCCAGCACAGCGCTCAAACTGAGCGTTGTGCTGGAACTGTTCCCGGACTTCGGGATCAGTATGAACGCAGCCTAAGCGATGACTCGAAATCTGCCTTCCAAATCTGCCAAGCGCCTTTGGACGCCGAGTTATGACCGTTCTTCGGAACGAAAAATGAGTGCAAAATTTAGGCAAAATTGATTGTTACAATCTTTCCAGCGCTCAGATAAAGCAATGTTAAGTATTAGCATAATAAATAAAATGTATCCATTGCATAAACAGCTCTGATACTTGACATTGGACCATTTGAGCAAATTTGGGCGATTTTGCTCCAGTTTTGCGTTCAATTTTTTGACCTGAAAATTGAGCATTACTCGGCGTGCAGAGGCGCTTGGCAGATTTGGCAAGCAGATTTGGAATCAACGATTAATGCTCTTTAAAACAGTATGGGTCTCATCTGGAAAGGCCACTTCGACTCGACACGGTTCCCTTGTAAGCTATCGGGCTGCAATTTTGCATAACATACCGTGCCAGCGTGTAGGCCCACCATGCGCAAGGACGAGCCGGTTCGATGAGCGGGTCCCTCAAAATTTGCGCGTCAAACGGGTCCACGCGCCTTTTGGCACGCAAAACTGGGTCGCTAATTCGACTTTTTGCAAAGTCATGATTTGTCTGACAAGTAACTCTGTGCGCCATGAATTTTAGCCCAAAAAGTGCTCAAAAAGTTTGCTTTTTTGCGAAAACAGCGCCGAAAAGTGATGAACGCGTAGATAGTCTATTTGGCAAGGTTTTATTTGAAAAAACTGAAAAGATTTTTGCACTGAATTGTAGCCCAAGGTGACTATTATCCTTATGACGATTATCAAACTAAAATAAATTTAGTAATCCGTTCAATTTCGCATTTGTTTCCTTGCAACAAAGTTTTTTTTCTCAAAATTACCGATCTTACATGGAGATGCTTCATGAATGAACAGTTGTTTGCTATTCATTTGTGATGCTCACCATCGAGTGGTGAGTTTCAAAGCCATTCTCATGCGAACATGAGAAAAGCATACGGATAGGGAGCCAGTGCGAATCTCCGCGAAGCGGAGGTGACGCACTGGTAATCTATAAGAACAGTAGTGCTAGTGCTTATTGGTATCTTTTATGTTGAATAGACGCTGCGTTACATCCTTGCAACGGACCTCCGCAGAAGAATTTGAGAAAACTGGAAAAGGAATATCGAGAACATACTGTACATCAGAAGATTTGCTTTGACAAGCTGAACACAATGCTGCTTTCGGCTTCAGAATATATTCATTCCGAAGGAAGTTATGGCACTGCGTAGTTTGCGTGATTCGAGTGAATTCCGGGGAATTCCTGAGATGTCGCGCACTTTCGCGGAATTCCGCAATATTCGCGGAATTTCTGCACATTCTGAGAGTGGTGTTGTACATGCTCTTGTACATATTCAGAATACATATCTGCTTGTCAAAATATGGACGATGCGCAAGAAGAAACGGCCGTTTCTGGCTTTCACTGTTATTTTCTGTAAGTATGTAAGTGCAAGCCTGAGTTCATCCCAGCTTTACCAGTTTTTCTAAAGGATTATCATGTTGTGTAACAATGTCATATTTATCGGAGTAACAGAGATCATGCGCTTCGAGTAACTAGATGGAATGCTTTGCTAGCAGTGCAAAGCACGGAGATCAACTTGAAATTCGTCACATATATGCGTTGATGTAAAAGTACTACGAAGGAATATAAAAAGCTAGGAAATTGCAGTGAGCTGAAATTTACGAGATCTATGTGCAACAGAGTGAAGACGCGGCCGTTCGAAGATTAAAGAAGGCGGTAGTGGCTCTTATTCGTAGTTCATCCAGCTGTAAGGATTGCGAGCTCGCTTCTCAAACATCGAGTACATCCACGAATAAGGGTTGCGAGGTTGACGGAAGTTATCGTCCAAGAAGTTCAGAGAACGCTTGCTCTAGAAAAATGAAAATAATTACTTAAATTTAGTCTACCCATTAGATTATTTACCTTTTCCGATGCCATCCAGCTGTATGGATTTCGTGCCCTCTTGAATTGTTCGCCTACCATCCAAGAATAAGGGTTTCGCGGCGCTCGTTTCACTTTCATCCATGAGTATGGGTTTCTTAAAGGACTTCCTGAAACGAGAACTCCATTAGTCCTTAGATTTTCGGTTAGAATGACTGTAAAATGCCCTTCTTGGATTCTTTTTTTTTGCTCTCATATTAACGGTGGTCGTCACAAGTTCGCACTTTTTTGCCTAGGGAAAGAGAGAGCATTGCGTGCCGTTTCTTTCATGCCACTCACCAAAATCCGTATTCCCTTCACAAGAACCACCCATTTTGAAATATTTATGTGCTTGGTTGATTAACTAGAATCCGTAACCGATTAGGTACCAAATCTCAAATCTTGCGTTCAATTTAGAGACAGCAATATATGCTTTCGGCAAAAGAAGCATTAAAATTTGAATAAACATTGAATACATTAGTGTTTATGCATATTCACATTTTTAGAAAATAGCCCCTTTGAACCTAGATTTTCGTTCAATGTACTATATAGCCTTTCGGAAAAATTTTGATTATAGCCATTATTATTAGCTCTATTATAGTCTGTCAATCTGTCCAAGTACAGCTAAGATTATGCCGGAAGTTAGATTGTGCGAAAGTAAATTGCCCCAAACGGCTCAAGCCCACCATTCAGAGCGTTTACACGACTACTTTTTTGTCCAGTATAACCGAGAGCAAATATAGAGGACCTGTTGTTACAAGTACACGATATAAATTATAGAGGCGATGATTTGTCCGGTACGATACGTCAAACTCCAGATAGTTTTCATCACTTAAGGCAATAATGCTACCCGGAAATCTTATAGATAAGCCCCGTTTTTGGCTCAGATAAGACGCTACAGATGAGGCCTTTTCTTTCCATCATAACTACCGCAAAATTTTGTCGGATAAGTCCGAAGACAGTCAAATAAGTCCGACTTATTTGCAGACGGGCTTATATGATGGGAAAGCCCTATCTATGACCTTTAGGATAATTAATTGAGTCAAAAAGGAGTGATTTTCAAAAAGAAAACCTTGCGAAAAAAAAAACATAATTGCGCACACTTCACTTTTTTCTTATCCAAAGTATGATTTTTAAGAGAAATATACGACCAAGACACTTTTTTGATTGCGTCACCAAAAAGCAAATTTAGCACTTTTTTCTGTGGGAAGGTTGATCTCTTTCAATCGTTGATGGTACAAAGGCTAATTCAAGCAAAATCTGCGCGCATATACTTTCCAATTTTGTATCAGACATAGCAAACGTTGCTCTTCCTTTACGTTTAGGAAATAGTGGTAAATCAGTGTTGATGCAGAATGTGATGAAGGCTTATAGAAACTAGTCGTGATATAATGAGTTACTTCCCACTCCACAGTAAAAATTCAAAAGCTGTACTCAGATGATCTGACTAAATCGTTAGCTAGAAATGCGAGGCACTAATTTGTGTATTCAAAGTGATGAGGTACTTGCTCCGATGATCAGCGATACCTCTATCCATGAACAATACTCGAGTCATTCATTCAAATTACTTTTCTTTTATCTACTATATTCAAATGAAAAGGTTTATTTCTCACGTTTTTCTTCGACAAGTTCGGCGGCGTTGTTGTCCTCATTAGTTGCTTCGCTGAGTTCTTCTGCTGATATTGTGTAGAATGCTAGCAGCAAACAGAGCAGTGACAGTGGCGACATGGTCTGCAATAGATTTTATTTGGAAGGCTGTGATGGTGAGAAAAAAATTAGCGAAAAAGTTCGAATTGAATGCCGAAAAATTAAGAGCAAGCATGGAAAGACATTAGACGATGAACGCTCTGACTCCAATGGACCAAAAAGCGCCGTCTTGGGTTACATGAAATATAATGAGTGAATTCTTGAAGAGTAATGCAATACGATATGAGGAAACGGAAGTTACCGAAGAAGCCAAATTTTTGAAGAATTTTGATTGTGTTCTAGTAATTTCCAAATTCAATCTACAACAAACCTGGATGGTACAACTAGACTGTAATGTACGTGAATTTTGTTCAATTCATGTATGTGTGTAAGAGTTCAGAGGTTATCAACTTTTAAAATAAAAAAGCGGATTTGAGCAATTTAAGTGAGCTCAATCGAATATTTTTCAGACAAAGGAAGAAGTCAGATAGATGTATGTAAAAGTAATGTGAAAGTAGCGAAAAATTTAGTTAGCCAAAGCATTCCCGTTTCCAGGTGTCAAATTTTGAAGTACACAATACTTCAAGAAAAGGTTGTAAGTGATGAAAGTCAGTAACATCTTATGTTATGATGTTTATCAAGGGCTAGTGGGCCAATTGCGAGGTGTTCTTACCACTAAAACGACAGAGTACGTACATTAGCACTCAATACAAACAATTTACTTCAATTGCTGTCACATAGAATGGAAGTGGTGCTAAAAAGGGGTGGCTGACCGAAAGTTTTTAGGAAGTGTCCCGAGCGTAATAGCCCAGCGAACGATATCCCTTTTACTAGTGAATTACTGCGATAATATACGCAGATTCTTAGAATCATTTAGCGAGTGAAAATTGGGTAAAGCGTTTTAAAAGGATAGGAAATGTTCTTTTTCTGTGATTTTGAGTCTACGAGAGTATAAAACAGCGTATCAAAATAGGCATTTTTCTCTTGAGCAAGAAGGTATTGACTTCAAGGTGCAGACGAGACGTGTACATCATACGATGCCTGGATTAACTTTTGGCGTAGAGCCCAGTAATCCTTAAAAATGAGTAAGACTGACAAAAACTTCAGAGCTTTACTAAACTGTCCGACTCAACCATAAATTCTGATAAGCGCCCATAAGTTTCACCTCAAAGGACGAAAAGCTTAAGCAAACTGCATATTCTCTTTATTGAAGCGCCTTCATGATTTTTTGTAGGCAGCGGATTAGACGTAAAGCAATTGCTTCTGGCTTGCCGATAAAACTCTTGATCCAGATAAATTTAACCGAGCTATACGTGATTGCTGAGGTCTTATTGAGCTCAATAAATTTCGTGTGAAATGGCGCTTCTATCAAGCAACTGCTTTGTTTTCTATTTGCTATGTTATCTTGTTAAGCTCAAAACTCATAGAAATTCATACCGAAGACTTAGCTTAATTTATCTGTTTGAAGAATGAATAAAGTTATGGTACACAGAAGGTTTTTGATATTATAGCTCCTGATGTTTCAGTTTTTGACAGTGGCAGATACGGTAACGATATTTGAGTAACAGGCTAAAAAGAGCTCTTTAGAATAGATAAAGAACCTGTTTTGCGATCACAAATAAATCAGAACGTATAAGATATCTGATTATGAATGAAGATTCTACATCTGATACGGTGACAAAAGTAAACAATGGATCAATCAATGTAGGTTCTAAACTACTCAAGTTAAATCCTCAAAAAATCGTGTAGACGACTTCAATGTTTTCTAAATGGCTTATAAATCATCCATTGCTTCATTGCAGGGCTCGGCACAGATGGCACGGGGTCAAGCTCGATATCGTTTTTGGGACAAAAAGCAGGGGATGTCGTTTTTGTGGCCGAAAAAACACAAAGACTACGACGTTTTTTAGGTCAACGTTTCGTTTTTGAGGGTTTTTTACGTTTAGAGTTCAGGGTAAAAAACTTCGTACGAAATTTTCAAGACCAGAGTAAACTTCGTTTTGAAAGTTCCCTGGTGCCAGCTCGTGTCGAGCCCTGCTTCATTGTCATACAAAAAGCACTTTCTGTATTTAGACAATAGTAGAAGCAGTGACGGACCGAGGGGGCGGGAAGGGGGCGCCCCACCCCCCTCCGAGGATGGGTCGCGAAATTTCTGAAAATTACTCAATGGATTATAAAAATGCGCAGGTGGTAAGATTTGGAGAAGCATCCCAAAAATTTTTTCGGAGTGCTAATGGCCACGCCCCCCCCCCCCTCTCCCTCCCCCCGGACGGAAATCCTGGGACCGCCACTGGTAAACAGCCAGTCGCAGAAGAATCAAAAATTTGTGAAACTCTCATCATACGGCTAACCAGGCGAAGTCCACAAAACTAACCGAACTTATCGGAAGCACCGAGAAGTACGGAATGGCATAACACTTTGAATAGAAAATTTGTTCTAGCACGCGAGTCCAATGAATTTTCAAAGAAGCACTGCTGAAACAGTCCTCCTACTTTCTCTCTCTTCGCACTCTCTCGGAAAGTAGCTTCCAAGGACATTCTTACGTAACTTACCGAAGCCTTTCCCACCTTTTTACTTTCGAGAGTCTAATGGCACTTTGTACTGGGGTATCTGACTAGTCAGTAGGAAAAGTTGAACTTCGGATGCATGAAACGGGTTAGGAATGCAAATTCCAAAATCTAAGCCAAGACCACAGTCTTCGTAATTGGGGTTAACAGACAAGACCCGAAAGTTTGCTCAGGGTAAAAAGTCCTTAAACATTGTCAATCTAAAGAAGAGAAATTTTTGCGTAAGACAAAGAGTATTTGCTCAAGACATTAACTGAGTTTACTACCATAGATGTTGCCAAAAAATATTCGTACAGGTGCAGGGGTAGCTACTGAGCTAGGAAATTCTGGGCGACTTTTGAAGACACAAGCTAATAAATTTTCTTGAACTTTCCAAAAAAGATTGAATATCCTTTTGAAGCACTTCAGATTTCAAATGGAATTTCTTCCAAAGGGTAGGCTTACAGACCCTATCTAACCCTATTCTGTGAGGCCGAACTTGAACGTGAAGGTTGGTAGCGCCGTATTCAGCCGGAAAACGCCAAATAAATTGAGAAGATAGAGACAAGAAGTGATAACGCGCATACAAATCCTGTTGATTACTACTTTGCATGTCCCATCCTTGGCCACTTCTGAGTTTTTATTTCCATTTTATCCTCAATTGTGAGCAGTTACCTCCACATATTAGGAGGTGACTGTTCACAATTTTTTAACAAAATCCGTTCTGGCAGGTGATGCTCGTAATGTAAAGAGTACAAGCAACAGAGTTATTCTATGTTTCTCACAGATCCTTGCAGAGCTGAATGCACTGCCGAAGAATTGCCAAAGGACAAATGATGCAACATTCAACTCGACCCTATTCAGCTTGCTTACGGCTATTATATTATGCAAGAGTGAATCACTTAGATTTCAGAAAGTTCCATCAGTTTGCACTTTGACAGATGGAATGGGCTCAGATGCAAATCTAACGAGTTGCCGTAATTAGACAGAGGATTACACTTCAAAACACACTTTCTGAGGACTAGCCAAAACAACGCATTTGAATGCCTCCATATTCACGCGGAAATAGATTTATTGGGAGATCGGAGATGTAGGTATGAGGAGGAGGAGGTTTAATCCGATGAAGTGATTTCTTCTTGGCTTGTCAGAAAAGCTACATATATCGAATGAGACTCGTCCCAAAGGAGACCTGGAGCTAGCCTCAGGTCAAAGCTTAGAATGGTTGAACCAAAATCGGTGTCTGCACTTCACCAAAATTGTTTCTTTAGAAGGAATTCAGAAACTAACCATCAAATAAAAGAAGTGGCAGTAGAGTTGACATATAGTGAACCTTACCAACCACTTTTAGGCTTTTGTGATGTAAATAGACTACAAAGCACACCCACTGAGCTACTGCTCAAGTACGAGTGCACCAAGTCACTTACGAGAAAATTACTTGAAAACCTCAGAGAAGCCTACTTCGAACTCTTGCCCTCACAAATTGCCGGTAGCAGCCAATGACATTGTAGGATGAGGAAGTAAAGACAAGACTGAATTAAAAAAGAAAACCACCTTAAAAAGTTTTTTAAGGTAGTTTTCTGGCGAAGGACATGTAAAGCGCCTTAGATTTGGCTGGAAAACTGCTTAGAATTCGCACTGAGATTCTCCCCAATACTGTTGAATATTTTTTCCCTTTTAGTATGATTTCTTCTCAATACGACAGAATACTATACAAAGTGAAGATTTCTCGCACTAAGATTTTCAAAGAATTTGGCAAAGTCCATAATTTCCGTTGCTTTTGAGTTCTTGGCAAAATTATGTCATAGAAAGAGAACAGAAATTTGCCTCATGAAATGACAGGAAAATTATGACAAAGGACTGTCAGTAAAAATTGAAGCATGTCATAAGTTCGTAGGTTCCCTTTAACGGCGTGTAAGATCTCAGGGCGCGCCCGGAACTTCCAGAAAAATCACCCGTTGATGTGTAACTTTGTTGTTTGTTATTATTGAATTAAGCAGAGTCGCTCGCAGTTTTGGTCAAAAAGACGTTACATTTGAACATAAAATTAAATGATGAAGCTGCAAAAAAAAAAGTCCAGAGCCACAAGGATCCAAACACGATGGATACCAACCAGGAAAATCAAACTTGTGGTTTTTTTCCGAAACAGAAACTTTTTGATAACTGCTCAGCTATTTGCTTATCATCTAGAATTATCTCAACGCAAATATTTACGGCTAATTTTGACATGCACAGGTAGGTGGAAACAGTCGCTGTATGACATTCCTCGTGCAGCATTAGAAGTACTTTGTAGATGAGTTTGTTACGCGGATTACAGGGAGTAGTTTATTTGCACTCCAAAATGTCAACAATTTTGACGAATTGCTGATACTGTGAATAACCACTAGCAACGATAACGATAAGGCGACCTTTTATGCATGCTTTTATAATGCACAGCAGACGTCTGTACGATCACATGGCAGACGTGGGAAAGTTCTTGTAAGTTCCAATGAAAAGAAACACACAGGTG